CCTATGGTCCTAGTCTTTTACCCCTTTATCGGGTTCAAATGGGTTTATCTCTACCCCTATAGGTCCTACTCACCTATCCTATCTCTATAGGTCCTAGTTTTCCCATACCCCTAAAAGGTCCTAGTCTCTACCCATAGGTCCTAACCTTTAAGTCTCTACCCTATGGCCTTCTATTAGGTCAAACCCTAAGGTCTATTCTAATATAGGTACCAGTTTTACCCTATGCCCTCTATGGGTCCTAGTTTACCCTATAGGTCTAGTCTACCCTATAGGTCCTTAGTCTCTCCCCTATAGGTCCTATCTCTACCCAAAAGGTCTTAGCTCTACCCCTATAGGCCTAGTCTACCCCTTGGGTTTCCTAGTCTCTCCCCCTATAGGTCCTAGTTTACCCATAGGGCCTTCAGGGTAAACTACAGGATGGGTAATATGGTACAGCTCCACTTTGCCCTCTGATAGACCAGGTTGAGTATTTGCCGTAATGTTTACACTGCTCCAATCCTATCAGTCCATATTGTTTACACTGCTCCAATCCTCTCAGTCCATATTGTTTACACTGCTCCAATCCTCTCAGTCCATATTGTTTACACTGCTCCAATCCTCTCAGTCCATATTGTTTACACTGTTCCAATCCTCTCAGTCCATATTGTTTACACTGCTAAATTTCCATCAGTCCATTTTGTTTACACTGCTCCAATCCCCAGTCCATATTGTTTACACTGCTCCAAATCCTCTCAGTCCATTTTTTTACACTGTTCCAATCCTTCTCAGTCCAATTGTTTACAGCCCCAAATTTCCTCCTCAGCCCATATTGTTTACCTGACCCCAATCCTCTCAGCCCAAATTTTGTTTACATGCTCCAATCCTATAAGTCATATGTTTACACTGCTCCCAATCCTCTCAGTCCATATTTTTTACACTGCTCAATCCTTTTTCCAGTCCATATTGTTTACACTGCCTCCAATCTTCAGTCCATATTGTTTACACTGCCTCCAATCCATCATCCATATGTACACTGCTCCAATTCTAGGTCCATTTTTTACACTGCTCCAATCTATCAGCCATAGTGTTTACACTGCTCCAATCCTCTCAGTCCATATTGTTTACACTGCTCCATCTCTCAGTTCCAATATGTTTACATGCTTCCAATCCTATCAGTCCATATTGTTTACACTGCTCCAATCCTATCAGTCCATATTGTTTACACTGCTCCAATCCTATCAGTCCATATTGTTTACACTGCTCCAATCCTATCAGTCCATATTGTATGTCACCAGTGGCTGATGACATCACCCCATATCTCTACTACTGCATCTCCAGGCCAAATGACTACCACACACCCGCCCTTCTCACACCATTTCACCTCAGCTGCGCCCTCTTTCTGAAGGGAAAAACAAGTCTCCAAACCCCCTTTTTCAGCTTAATCATCCACATTCCTTCCATGGCTGGTAACTAACAGCCTTGATTCAGTGGAATCAAATTAGCCTGATCAGAGAGTTTTCCCCCAGTCTTTCACCAAAAAAAGAGGGACAAATTAAAATAATCATCCTTTTAAAATGTGAAGCGCTTTCACATCTGTGTGTCTGGTTTCCTACCTTAGGCCCGGGGTCTGTTGTTTGTGTGTGTGTGTGTGTGTGTGTGCGTGTGTTTGTGGCGAGAGAAACACTAGCCGTGTTTGGGAAGAAATGGCCACATATGTAATGAAGTCGTCGCCATGGCAGATATCATCTCTATCAGGGTAACTGATACACTGATTGATGCAGGGCAGCGAAGGGGTGTGTGTGTGTCAGCGTGCAGAAGCACTCCAGACTCAGTGTCATCTGTCTCACTACAATGGCATCATTCGTGGGGAATTTTGCACCACTGACTAGGACCACTCTCCTGTGTCTCTCTCCTGTGTCTCTCATGTGTCTCTCATGTCTCTCTCTCCTGTGCTCTCTCTCTCTCCTGTGTCTCTCTCCTGTGTATCTCTCTCCTGTCTCTCTCTCCCGTGTCTCTCTCCTGTGTCTCTCTCCTGTGTCTCTCTCTGTCTCTCTCCTCCTGTGTCTCTCTCATCTCTCCTGTCTCTCTCTCCTGTGTCTCTCTCCTGTGTCTCTCTTCGTGTCTCTCTCTCCTGTGTCTCTCTCCTGTGTCTCTCTCCTGTGTCTCTTTCTCATGTCTCCTTCCTGTCTCTCCTGTCGTCTCTCTCTGTTCTCTCTCTGTCTCTTCCTGTGTCTCTCTCTGTGTCTCTCTCCTTGTCTCTCTCATGTGTCTCTCTCCTTGTGTCTCTCTCTCTGTCTCTCTCTCCTGTTCTTCTCTTCCTGTGTCTCTCTCCTGTGTAATCTCTTCCTGTCTTCTCTCCCGTGTCTCTTCCTGTGTCTCTCTCATGGTTCTTCTCTCAGCTCCTCTCGTGTCTGTCTTCTCCCTGTTGTCTTCTCTCCTCTGTTCTTCGTCTCCTGGTCTCTTCTGTGTCTCTCTCCTCTGTCTTCTCTTCCTGTGTTCTCTCTGTCTCTTCTCCTGTTCTCTCCTGTGTCTCTACTCACAATGGATCCCTCCACAATTTCTGGACAGGGGATCGTGATCCATAATCTGTAGTAATTAGTGGGTATGATTAAGATGATCAAACGCTGCAGATTTTGGGAGAATTGAAATATTACAGTTTTCTTATGACAAAAGCTTATTTAGGAATATAAGTACATTTACGTTCTAGTCAGTGCATGTCCCTGCCACACACTAGACAACCAAATATGGCATTTCCATTTTCTCTTCTCCACTATCTGATGTCCATTCTTGTCATTCTGTCTGTGGTTCATCTCCCCTCTACCCTTCTGGCAGTCTCCGTAGATGCCAAACCCCGCTCACCACAGATACCAAACCCCGCTCACCACAGATACCAAACCCTGCTCACCGTAGATACCAAACCCTGCTCACCGTAAGATACCAAACCCTGCTCACCGTAGATACCAAACCCTGCTCACCGTAGATACCAAACCCTGCACACCGTAGATACCAAACCCTGCACACCGTAGATAACAAACCCTGCTCATAGTTTAATTCTTAAAGATTAAAATACCTTGAAGGTCTCTGACATTGTCTGTCTGTCTGACTTTTCTTTCCCTCTTTCTCTCTCTCTCGCTCTATACACGATCTCATCCCACTCTATCGCAAATCACTAAAATCTCTTTCCTTTTCCCACATCTCTTATCTCTCTCTATACCTCTCTCTCTCCCATCTATCCCCTCCTCTATCCCCTTTCTATCTCTAGACTCCTCTCTATCTGTCTCTCTCTCCCCATTCCCCCCCTCTCTCTCTGTCTCCTCGCCAACTCGCTCTCTCTCTCCCCCACTCTCTCTCTCCCTCCTTTCTCTCTCTCCCCCCCTCTCTCTCTGTCTCCCTCGCCAACTTTCTCTCTCTCCCCCCTCTCTCTCTGTCTCCCTCGCCAACTCTCTCTCTCCCTCAGTTAAAGGGAAGAAGGACTCTCAGAAGAGTCAGAAGGGAGGCACGCTGGGTAACGGGGGCGGGGAAGAAAGACGATCACAAGATCATTGGCCTAGGCAAGAAGAAGCCGTCCACTGACGAACAGACCTCTTCAGCCGAGGAGGACATACCCACCTGTGGTAAGACACCTGTTAGAGGTTAGAGGTCACATCTGGGGTTTAGAGGTCAACCTATATCTAGGGTAGATTGGTCGTATAGGTGCTCTGTTAAAATGTGTTCCAAAACATTGTTGTTGTTTCTATATAGACTGTATGGGGACATGTCTTGACTTACAACAACCAGAACAGCAGCGATCAACCCATTTCCTGGTCTGCTGTTTCGCCATTGGCCACTTTACCCCACCCTTTTATCCTAACCTGGTCCGTCTTGTCTGATTGACAGGCTACCTGAACGTGCTGTCCAATAACCGCTGGCGTGAGCGTTGGTGTCGTCTGAAGGACAACCAGCTGCTGCTCCATAAGGACCGTGCTGACCTGAAGACCCACACGGCCAGCCTGCCCCTCAGAGGCTGCGAGGTCAGCCCCGGACTGGACTCCAAACACCCCTTCGCCTTCCGCCTGCTCCGCAACGGACAGGAGGTGGGCTGGACTGGATGTAGGTTGGTTGGTCAATGGACTCTGGGTTGGAGGTTGGTCTTAGGTTCAGATTCTAGGATCAGCTTACCCACGCCAAATCTGAACCTTCATGGTCAGGGGGAAGTCATCAGATCTGACCTTAGATCAGCGCCCAAGGGCAACTTTGACCTACACCATCAAATGCACTTACAACTAGTGAGTAGCTTTGTGCTAATGTGATTAGTGGATTGGGATTTGTAAAGTACTGATGGAACTCTAACCCTCCTGTCCAGGCGTCCTACTCGAGAGTATGGGTCGGTGGCTGGGGGTTGCTGTCTAGCTGAAGGACTGGCTCCACCACAGACCCCTGCTGCCTTGTGCACTACGACTACATAGACGTAGTAGAGACTACCGCTAACGTTATCCAGCTGGCCAAGCAGTCCTTCTGGTGAGACACGCACGCACGCACGCGCACGCACGCACGCACGACGCACGCACGCACGCACGCACGCACCGCACCGCACGCACGCCCACGCACGCACTAACGGCACGCACCCCGCACGCACGCACGCACCTGCACCACACACACACACACACACACCCACACACACACAAACAACACAACCACAACACACACACACACACACACACACACACACACACACACAGGGGCCATTTGTCAACCATATGGGGATCTCAAAAAGGCAAATATTTTGTCTTATAGATGGGGTGTGAACATGCAGGTCTGGGCAGATGAGATGTAGTCGTTGTTCGTATGTGTTTATGTTTGTATCTGGTGTAAAAAAGGAAAAACAAAATATATTATTAAATATATACTACCGTTCAAAAGTTTGGGGTCACTTAGAAATGTCCTTGTTTTTCGAAAGAAAACAATTTTTTTTGTCCATTAAAATAACATCACATTGATCAGAAATACAGTGTAGACGTTGTAAATGGCTATTGTAGCTGGAAACTGCCAATTTTTAATGGAATATCTACAGTTGGAAGTTTACATACACTTAGGTTGGAGTCATTAAAACTCGTTTTTCAACCACTCCACAAATTTCTTGTTAACAAACTATAGTTTTGGCAAGTCAGTTAGGACATATACTTTGTGCATGACACAAGTAACTTTTCCAGCAATTGTTTACAGACAGATTATTTCACTTATAATTCACTGTATCACAATTCCAGTGGGTCGGAAGTTTACATACACTAAGTTGACTGTGCCTTTAAACAGCTTGGAAAATTCCAGAAAATGATGTCATGGCTTTAGAAGCTTCTGATAGGCTAATTGACATAATTTGAGTCATTTGGAGGTGTACCTGTGGATGTATTTCAAGGCCTACCTTCAAACTCAGTGCCTCTTTGCTTGACATCATGGGAAAATCAAAAGAAATCAGCCAAGACCTCAGAAAAAAAATTGTAGACCTCCACAAGTCTGATTCATCCTTGGGAGCAATTTCCAAATGCCTGAAGGTACCACGTTCATCTGTACAAACAATAGTACGTAAGTATAAACACCATGGGACCACGCAGCCGTCATACCGCTCAGGAAGGAGACGCGTTCTATCTCCTAGAGATGAACGTACTTTGGTGCGAAAAGTGCAAATCAATCCCAGAACAACAACAAAGGACCTTGTGAAGATGCTGGAGGAAACAGGTACAAAAGTATCTATATCCACAGTAAAACGAGTCCTATATCGACATAACCTGGAAGGCCGCTCAGCAAGGAAGAAGCCACTGCTCCAAAACCTCCATAAAAAAGACAGACTACGGTTTGCAACTGCACATGGGGACAAAGTATTTTTTGGAGAAATGTCCTCTGGTCTGATGAAACAAACATAGAACTGTTTGGCATAATGACTATCGTTATGTTTGGAGGAAAAAGGGGGTCACGTGCAAGCCGAAGAACACCATCCCAATGTGAAGCACGGGGGTGGCAGCATCATGCTGTGGGGGTGCTTTGCTGCAGGAGGGACTGGTGCACATCACAAAATAGATGGCATCATGAGGAAGGAAAAGTATGTGCATATATTGAAGCAACATCTCAAGACATCAGTCAGGAAGTTAAAGCTTGGTCACAAATGGGTCTTCCAAATGGACAATGACCCCAAGCATACTTCCAAAGTTGTGGCAAAATGGCTTAAGGACAACAAAGTCAAGGTATTGGAGTGGCCATCACAATGCCCTGACCTCAATCCTATAGAAAATGTGTGGGCAGAACTGAAAAAGCATGTGCGAGCAAGGAGGCCTACAAACCTGACTCAGTTACACCAGCTCTGTCAGGAGGAATGGGCCAAAATTCACCCAACTTATAATGGGAAGCTTGTGGAAGGCTACCCGAAACGTTTGACCCAAGTTAAACAATTTAAAGGCAATGCTACCAAATACTAATTGAGTGTATGTAAACTTCTGACCCACTGGGAATGTGATGAAAGAAATAAAAGCTGAAATAAATCATTACCTCTACTATTATTCTGACATTTCACATTCTTAACATAAAGTGGTGATCCTAACTGACCTAAGGCAGGGAATTTTTGCTAGGATTAAATGTCAGGAATTGTGAAAAACTGAGTTTAAATGTATTTGGCTATGGTGTATGTAAACTTCCGACTTCAACTGTACATAGGCGTACAGAGGCCCATTATCAGCAACCATCAGTCCTGTGTTCCAATGGCACGTTGTGTTTGCTAATCCAAGTTTATCATTTTAAAATGCTAATTGATCATTAGAAAACCCCTTTGCAATTATGTTAGCACAGCTGAAAACTGTTGTGCTGATTTAAAGAAGCAATAAAACTGGCCTTCTTGAGACTAGTTGAGTATCTGGAGCATCAGCAATTGTGGGTTCGATTACAGGCTCAAAATGGCCAGAAACAAATAACTTTCTTCTGAAACTCGTCACTCTATTCTTGTTCTGAGAAATGAAGGCTATTCTATGCGAGAAATTGCCAAGAAACTGAAGATCTCGTACAACGCTGTGTACTACTCCCTTCACAGAACAGCGCAAACTGGCTCTAACCACAATAGAAAGAGGAGTGGGAGGCCCCGGTGCACAACTGAGCAAGAGGACAAATACATTAGTGTCTAGTTTGAGAAACAGACGCCTCACAGGTCCTCAACTGGCAGCTTCATTAAATAGTACCCGCAAAACACCAGTCTCAACGTCAACAGTGAAGAGGCGACTCCGGGATGCTGACCTTCTAGCCAGAGTTGCAAAGAAAAAGCCATATCTCAGACTGCCCATCTTAATCTTTTCTTTTTATTGGCCAGTCTGAGATATGGCTTTTTCTTTGCAACTCTATATATAAATAATATATATATATATATTTATTTATTTTTCAATATGGGGTGTTGGTAGGTATGGAGGCCGTGTGTGCATGTGTATGACAGAGAGGGTAAGTACATGGTGGTATGTGTCCACTATGTGGTGTTGTTAATCCCCTGACCCTCAGCCTCTCAAACCTTATTCACTTAGGAATGCACATCTCAGGATCAATGTTTTCCCTCAGAGGATGTGAGTCACTCTCTTGCCAGCATTGTTTTCACCAGAGCGCTGTGTGCAGTCCAGTTCTGCCCACACAAAAATACAACACATTTAGCAAGGGCTGGATAAATAGTTTGAAAACCAACGGGAGTACTAAATGCCTGGACTGTTATTTTTTATGAAGCGGGCAACATGAGACAGCTATAAGGGTCCTTAAAGGCCAAATCTCTCCATATTCCCCAAGGGACTCCACATGTCTATAGTGCTCTACTTTTAGATTGTGATTATATGGAGAAGGTGTAATTTTGCCTTGTGTTGTCACATGTACAGTAACTCACGATTTCCTCCTCAGCTTCACTAGTAAACGTGCTGTATCTCCCAACCCCTATCTGGACAACCCTGTCAACAGTTACGCGTGTCCCTCTGGAATGGCGCTGCACTATGATGATGTGCCCATCAATGGAACGGTAAGGGGACACGCACACACACACACACCACACACACACACACACTGAGAAAACAAACAAAAATATCTATATATAAAACAAACCTGTGCAATATCTCAGTATCTCCTGTCTGGAAGCTGCATTGTGATGGCTTGCAACCTGGTATCTTTCTGTTTCTCATACTCTCTCGCTCCTTCTTTCCCACGCTCATCCCTCTGATTAAATAATTGTGCAACTTTCAAGTACGTTCCCCTGTTCTAACTCACTGGTCTGTAACCATAACAATGCTTTGGCTTCCTCTCTTCTTCTTCGTCTCCTTTGCTGCTCCTTTCTTCATCTTCTTTTCACTTACTCTCTCTTTATCTTCGTTCTTCTCCTCCTCTCTCTCCCCTTCTAACTCTCCTCTCCTCTGCTCCGTCTCCTCTCGCTCGTCTACCTCACCTCATCCTCCTCCCCTCCTCATCAAAAATCCTTAACACTCCCTTCTCTCCTCCTCCTGCTGTCCTCTCCCTGTCCTTCTCCTCTCCTCTCCTCCCTCCTCTCCCTCCTACTCTCCACTCTTCCGTCCTCTCCTCTCTCCTCCGTCCTCCCTCTCCTCTCCTCTCTCCTTTCTCTCATCTCTGCCTCTCTCTCCTATCTTCCGCGTTCTCTCCTCGTCGCTCAAGTCTCCCGTCTCGTCCACTGCGACCCCTAGATCCTCGTCCGCCTTCGTCATCCCTCTCACTCCCGTCCTGCTCTCTCGTACCTACCTCACTACTCTCTGCTACTCCTGATCTCCTTCCCTCCTTCTCCCTCTCCTCTCTCCCTTCTCTCTCCTTCTCTCTCTCCCTTCTCTCCTCTTCTCTCCTCTCCTTTCTGCATGCCTTCCTCTAACGCAAGGACCCAGAGGCGCTATACTCCAGCCCTGCCACCGGAGGACGACGTCTGAGAGAGGAGGTGTTGTATGAGAACGCTGACCCTGACCTGTATGAGAACATGCCTTCGCCCAAGCTGGCCACCCGCTACTCCCCCAAACCGAGTCGCCTGGCATCTTCCTCCTCCTCCTCTTCCTCCAGCCACTACAAAACCCCTGGCCCTGTCAAATCCAAACTCCTCTCCTCTTCCTCAACTAACACTAAAGCCGTTGCTCAGGTGACTAACACTCTGCTTTCCTAACAATAACGCTAACGCTAACCTATCACTGTACTCTTCTCTTTCACATTGTTAGGTTCTAAATAAACAGAGTAAAAAACTAACGAACAACTAGTCAAAGCTCAGACCAAGTTTATTCACCCACTGGGTCAAACAGCTGCATAAGACAAAGACGTGTTTATATATTTAGTACATATATTTATACCCTCTACTGGGTTGGAGTCAACTTCCTTTCACATCTAGACAGCCAATACATCTCTGTTGCTAGGCAGGAACTTAAGTGATGTGTGTAATAAAACTGTTCCTTCTCCCTTCATCTAACCTGACCTGACCTCGGCCCACGTTCCTCACTAATCCACAGCTATCCAACCTTATCAGTGACCGCAACCATGTGATGACCTTTGCCCTCACGTAGTAACTTTCCAGATTCCTCCTCCTTATCCTCCCACCGTATATATTCCTCTTTACACCATTCACTTCTATTTCAAATTAGAACCCAACAACATCAAAGGGGATAGTTCACCGCAAAGTCAAAGTTTCATCAAACATTTTCATACCTCAAAAATGTTGGGACCCTTGTGACATTTCTTTATATAGACCTTCAACCCAAATGTCATTGACACCATCTAAATTCCATCTAGTAACTTGGATGGTTTTGGCGTGAACTCTCCCTTTTAACAAAAAAAAATGAATTCAAACGATAGAGAGCAATTCTTTGCTACGTGGGAGGGATGCTGTGTGTCAAGAGGAGGGGAGGGGAGAGGGATTCAATAATGCGATTTGAGTCTCAATTCTTATTACCTGTGTTATCCCTGCAGGGACATGCTTTGATTGAATATAACGGTGTTGATACTGGTCACCCAGAATCCAGGTTTCCAGACATTATCCTCAGAATCCCTGCTGACTTAGTCCCGCTGTAGTGCAGCTCTTAGTAATGTGGTTAAAAACATGGCTGTGCAGAGGAGTGGTGTTAAACGCGTATTGAGCCCCTCGTAAAATAGCGTTTCCAGTATTGAGTGTATGGGAGTTAGGGTCTGAGACATTGACCATGCACTCTTTAGCAAACCTTAGCTAGAGGCCTGTTATTAAACTGAGAGAAGTAGGGGGGATCAAATATCTGCAGTGTGTTAGGCTGCGTATCTGTCTGAGCACTTTAGACCACCCAGATTTTAGAGGGTTCTCCTCCTGTGATGTGTGTGTGTGTGTGTGTGTGTGTCTGTGTGTCTGTGTGTGTTCAGTATGTTCACACTACTCCTTGCCTTTACACCGACCATCACCTCCATATTATGTCATTATATTTGTATAGCCTACATCACGTGTCAAACTCATTCCACGGAGGGCCGAGTGTCTGCGGGTTTTTGCTCCCCCCTTGTACTTGATTGATTAATTAAGGTCACTGATTAGTAAGGCACTCCCCTCACCTGGTTGTCTAGGGCTTAATTGAAAGGGAAAACCAAAAACCAGCAGACACTAGGCCCTCCATGGAATGAGTTTGACACCTCTGGCTAATATGAACCTGAGATGTAAGTGCCACCCAGCACTGTTACACACATTAATCACCACATGGGGTTGTAGAGTTGTGGTTTCTGAGCAGAGCTTTTGTGTGTGTGTGTGTGTGTGCGCGTGCGTGTCCGTCCGTCCTCAGATGAACCTTGCATTGTCATCAGACACACACTCACACACACTGCAAGAGTAATACAGTCCAGTAAGACTGGTTTAGCCCAATGCTGGGATTACTGCGTTGTGTTTTAATTTAAAATGTGTTTGTACAGCTGTGCACATGATTTTATCCACCTGGGGAGTTTGTGGACAATGTTGATTTTTATTGAAGGGGTTTGTAGCCATTTTAACTGTCTGTTCACTTCATGGTTTTCATTATATGTGCAAATTGTAGTTAGCAGTTTTACGACTGTGCATTTTAACCAGATTATGAATGGTTGTTCTCTCTTCCTCCTTCTCAACCAATCAGCTGAAGGGAAAAAAGGCCTCAGTGACCAATGGGGCGGCGTCTAAACAGAAGGTGGACAAGAACCAAGCCAAGAAGACCAACGGCACAGCCACCAATGGAACAGCGTCTGTGAAACGGAACAACTCAAGTAAGTGTGTGTCTGTGTGTTTGTATTTGTGTATGTGTTTGTGCGTTTAAGAGCTACATAGGTAGAGAGAGTGAGAAAGCAACAGAGAGGCACAGAGATCGAGACACACATTCCCATGAGTACATTACAGTCTTGAGTAGGTCTATAAATCATGATATTTCATCTACTGCTAGCCTGTCTCTTCCGGTCATCCTTATACTGTCCACTGGCTGTGATACATAGCACTAACCTGGACTTAGTAGACACTAAGTCTGGCTCCCCACTCCACACACACCAAACTGGAGCCACACCAAAAATCCACAAATGCCGGAATACCCAAATGACAGTTGGTGAAGCAGCAGGAGTGAAGTTCTTCGGATGGGGCTAATAGAGCTTCTTTGAAACCATCCGTCGTAAAAAAAAAAAAAAAACCTTATGGATGATTCTCATTACATATCCAGACCAAACTATCATTCAACGTTCAGTCGACGTTCAAATAGCAGCATGAACTCGCTAATATTTGGCCAGGGGACAGAGTGGTTACTGGTGAGGCTAGTCTGGGCGATGGAGGGCTGTGTGTATTCAGTAATGTGGGAACTACGACCGTTTTGAACCCACTTTCTCAGACATTTTGGATTCAGTGTCTGTTATACAATCCTTCTTTAAAATCAAGCTCAAGTATAAATATAAAGCCCCTATTGGTGTATTGATGGTTGAAGATGTCAAGTGGTGGTTTGATTGAGTATATGGTCCTTTGTAAAGGCTAATGCACTAGTGAAGCGCCCGCACAGCACACACACAGTCATCATTTGTGGTGTGGAGAGGCTCCAGTGGCCTCTGTGGCTAAAGGCATCTTATTCGGTGTATTCTTTTCCAGCAGGGTCGGTCCCTACCCTCCTCTGGGTGATTAATAGGTATTTCTAGGCTGAGGTTTGGGTTCACTGGGTTTCTGGTCAGTTTATGAAATCTGATGAGCATTGGTTGATTCTTTCTCTTCTCCCTCCATTCCTCCCATTCCTCTCATCCCCTGTTCTCCCCTCCCATTCCTCTCATCCCTGTTCTCCCCTCCCATTTCCTCTCATCCCCTGTTCTCCCCTCCCATTCCTCTCATCCCCTGTTCTCCCCTCCCATTCCTCTCATCCCCTGTTCTCCCCTCCCATTCCTCTCATCCCCTGTTCTCCCCTCCCATTCCTCTCATCCCCTGTTCTCCCCTCCCATTATTCTCATCCCTGTTTCCCCTCCCATCTTCTCATCCCCTGTTCTCCCCTCCCATTCTCTCATCCCCTGTTCTCCCCCTCTTCCTCTCATCCCCTGTCTCTCCCCTCCCATTCTTCTCATCCCCTGTTCTCCCCTTCCCCATCCTGCTCATCCCCTCTGTTACCCCTACCTTCCTCTCATCCCAGTTTCTCCCTTCCCATTCCTCTCATCCCCTGTCCTCTACTCATCATTCCTCATCTCCTCTCTGATCCTATTCTCTCCTTCCCCCTAATCCCTCCTTCTCCTCTCCTCTCCTTCCATTGCCCATTTCCCCACACTGTTTGGGCTTAATGGTGCGAAGGTACACTATATATACAAAAGTATGTGGACAGCCCTTCAAATTAGTGGATTCAGCTATTTCAGCCACACCCGTTTTGCTGACAAGTGTATACAATCGAGCACACAGCCATGCAATCTCCATAGACAAACATTGGCAGTAGAATGGCCTTAGTGAAGAGCTCAACGTGGCACCCTCATAGAATGCCATCTTTCCAACAAGTCAGTTCGTCTAATTTATACCCTAATAGAGGTGCCCCGGTCAACTGTAAGTGCTGTTATTGTGAAGTCGAAAACGTCTAGGAGCAACAACGGCTCATCCGCGAAGTGGAAGGCCACACAAGCTCACAGAACGGGACCGCCGAGTGCTGAAGCGCGTAGAGTATATAAATCACCTGTCCTCGGTTGCAACACTCACTACCGAGTTCCAAACTACCTCTGGAAGCAACGTCAGCACAATAACTGTTCGTCGGGAGCTTCATGAAATGGGTTTCCATGGCCGAGCAGCCGCACACAAGCCTAAGATCACCATGAGCAATGCCAAGCGTCGGCTGGAGTGGTGTAAAGCTCGCCACCATTGGACTCTGGAGCCGTGGTAACGCGTTCTCTGGAGTGATGAATCACGCTTCGCCATCTGGCAGTCTGACGGATTAATCTGGGTTTGGCGGATGCCAGGAGAACCCGACCTGCCCAATGCATAGTGCCAACTGTAAAGTTTGGTGGAGGAGGAATAATGGTCTGAGGCTGTTTTTTATGGTTCGGGCTAGGCCCCTTAGTTCCAGTGAAGGGAAATCTTAACGCTACAGGGTACAATGACATTGTGGATGATTCTGTGCTTCCAACTTTGTGGCAAAAGTTTGGGTAAGGCCCTTTCCTGTTTCAGCATGACAATGCCCCGGTGCACAAAGCGAGGTCCATACAGAAATGGTTTGTTGAGATCGGTGTGGAAGAACTTGACTGGCCTGCACAGAGCCCTGACCGCAACCCCATCGAACACCTTTGTGATGAATTGGTACGCCGACTGCGAGCCAGGTCTAATCGCCCAGCATCAGTGCCCGACCTCACTAATGTTCGTGGCTGAATGGCGGCAAGTCCCCGCAGCAATGTTCCAACATCTAGTAGAAAGCCTTCCCAGAAGAGTGGAGGCTGTTATAGCAGCAAAGGGGGGGGACCAACTCCATATTAATGCCCATGATTTTGGAATGAGATGTTCGACGAGCAGGTGTCCACATACTTATGGTCATGTAGAGTGTATATATAACCCCTCTCTACCCTGTAGGTGGTCGTGTAGAGTGTATATATATATAACCCCTCTCTACCCTGTAGGTGGTCATGTAGAGTGTATATATATAACCCCTCTCTACCCTGTAGGTGGTCATGTAGAGTGTATATATATAACCCCTCTCTACCCTGTAGGTGGTCATGTAGAGTGTATATATATAACCCCTCTCTACCCTGTAGGTGGTCATGTAGAGTGTATATATATAACCCCTCTCTACCCTGTAGGTGGTCATGTAGAGTGTATATATATAACCCCTCTCTACCCTGTAGGTGGTCATGTAGAGTGTATATATATAACCCCTCTCTACCCTGTAGGTGGTCATGTAGAGTGTATATATATAACCCCTCTCTACCCTGTAGGTGGTCATGTAGAGTGTATATATATAACCCCTCTCTACCCTGTAGGTGGTCATGTAGAGTGTATATATATAACCCCTCTCTACCCTGTAGGTGGTCATGTAGAGTGTGTATATATAACCCCTCTCTACCCTGTAGGTGGTCATGTAGAGTGTATATATATAACCCCTCTCTACCCTGTAGGTGGTCATGTAGAGTGTATATATATAACCCCTCTCTACCCTGTAGGTGGTCATGTAGAGTGTATATATATATTACCCCTCTCTACCCTGTAGGTGGTCATGTAGAGTGTATATATATAACCCCTCTCTACCCTGTAGGTGGTCATGTAGAGTGTATATATATAACCCCTCTCTACCCTGTAGGTGGTCGTGTAGAGTGTATATATATAACCCCTCTCTACCCTGTAGGTGGTCGTGTAGAGTGTATATATATAACCCCTCTCTACCCTGTAGGTGGTCGTGTAGAGTGTATATATATAACCCCTCTCTACCCTGTAGGTGGTCGTGTAGAGTGTATATATATAACCCCTCTCTACCCTGTAGGTGGTCGTGTAGAGTGTATATATATAACCCCTCTCTACCCTGTAGATGGTCGTGTAGAGTGTATATATATAACCCCTCTCTACCCTGTAGGTGGTCGTGTAGAGTGTATATATATAACCCCTCTCTACCCTGTAGGTGGTCATGTAGAGTGTATATATATAACCCCTCTCTACCCTGTAGGTGGTCATGTAGAGTGTATATATATAACCCCTCTCTACCCTGTAGGTGGTCATGTAGAGTGTATATATATAACCCCTCTCTACCCTGTAGGTGGTCATGTAGAGTGTATATATATAACCCCTCTCTACCCTGTAGGTGGTCATGTAGAGTGTATATATATAACCCCTCTCTACCCTGTAGGTGGAGAACAGTATAGGTACGGTAAGAACCGTGTTGAGGCGGACGCCAAGCGGCTGCAGGCTAAAGAGGAGGAGCTAATCAAGCGGAAACAGGACATCAGGAACCGTCTGACCCAGCTGAAGAAGGACAGGAAAGACCTGCGCACCACCATGGAGGCCAGCACCGGTACGACAGAGAGAGAGACACACACACACACACACACACACACACAGACTTAGACAGACAGACGTGTTCAGACACAGACTGAGAGACAGACAGATGCGCACACACATACACACACACACACACAAAACACATACAGTCGTGGTCAAAAGTTTTGAGAATGACACAAGTATTGGTCTTCACAAAGTTTGCTGCTTCAGTGTTATGAGATATTTTTTGTCAAATGTTACTATGGTATACTGAAGTATAATTACAAGCATTCCATAAGTGTCAAAGGCTTTTATTGACAATTGCATTAAGTTTATGCAAAGAGTCAATATTTGCAGTGTTGACCCTTCTTTTTCAAGACCTCTGCAATCCACAATGGCATGCTGTCAATTCACTTCTGGGTCACATCCTGACTGATGGCAGCCCATTCTTGCATAATCAATGCTTTGAGTTTGTCAAGAATTTGTGGGTTTTTGTTTGTCCACCCGCCTCTTGAGGATCGACCACAAGTTCTCAATGGGATTAAGGTCTGGGGAGTTTCCTGGCCATGGACCCAAAATGTTGATGTTTTGTTGCCCGAGCCACTTAGTTATCACTTTTGCCTTATGGCAAGGTGCTCCATCATGCTGGAAAAGGTATTGGTCGTCACCAAACTGTTCTTGGATGGTTGGGAGAAGTTGCTCTCGGAGGATGTGTTGGTACCATTCTTTATTCATGGCTGTGTTCTTAGGCAAAATTGTGAGTGAGCCCACTCACTTGGCTGAGAAGCAACCCCACACATGAATGGTCTCAGGATGCTTTACTGTTGGCATGACACAGGACTGATGGTAGCGCTCACCTTGTCTTCTCCGGACAAGGTGTTTTCCGGATGTCCCAAACAATCGGAAAGGGGATTCATCAGAGAAAATGACTTTACCCCAGTCCTCAGCAGTCCAATCCCTGTACCTCTTGCAGAATATCAGTCTGTCCCTGATGTTTTTCCTGGAGAGAAGTGGCTTCTTTGCTGCCCTTCTTGACACCAGGCCATCCTCCAAAAGTATTTGCCTCACTGTGCGTGCAGATGCACTCACATCTGCCTGCTGCCATTCCTGAGCAAGCTCTGCACTGGTGGTGCCCCGATCCCGCAGCTGAATCAACTTTAGGAGACGGTCCTGGCACTTGCTGGACTTTCTTGGGCGCCCTGACGCCTTCTTCACAACAGTTGAACCTCTCTCCTTGAAGTTCTTGATGATCCGATAAATGGTTGATTTAGGTGCAATCTTACTAGCAGCAATATCCTTGCCTGTGAAGCCCTTTTTGTGCAAAGCAATGATGACGGCACGCATTTCCTTGCAGGTAACCATGGTTAACAGGGTCCCCTGTAGCTCAGCTGGTAGAGCATGGCGCTTGCAACGCCAGGGTTGTGGGTTCGTTTCCCACGGGGGGCCAGTATGAAAATGTATGCACTCACTAACTGTAAGTCGCTCTGGATAAGAGTGTCTGCTAAATTACCCAAATGTAAAAATGTTTAATGAAGAACAATGATTTCAAGCACCACCCTCCTTTTAAAGCTTCCAGTCTGTTATTCTAACTCAATCAGCATGACAGAGTGATCTCCAGCCTTGTCCTCGTCAACACTCTCACCTGTGTTAACGAGAGAATCACTGACATGATGGCAGCTGGTCCTTTTGTGGCAGGGCTGAAATGCAGTGGAAATGTTTTTTTGGCAAAGAGGGACTGATAATCTGATCATTCTTCATGACATTCTGGAGTATATGCAAATTGCCATCATCAAAACTGAGGCAGCAGACTTTGTGAAAATTAGTATTTGTCATTCTCAAAACTTTTGACCACACTGCTTTTACCAAGGTAGAGAGAAGATGGATTAGATGGGGGAGAGGTGGGAGTGAAAGTAGTGGAAGATGGAGAGATGATAAGAGGAAGAGCGGTTTAGATTGATGGGAGATGGAATGAGTGTTGGAAGGAAGAGTGGAGAGGTGGGAGTGAGTGGTGTTTGGTGGAGTTATGGGTGGAAGGGTTAGGGTTAGGAGTGAGTGGTGTTTGATGGAGTTATGGATGGGAGGGTTAGGAGTGAGTGGTGTTTGGTGGAGTTATGGTTGGGAGGGTTAGGAGTGAGTGGTGCAGGATGGAAGAAGGGTTTGGAGGGGGAGAGATGGGAGTCAGATGTCCTGAGTGACTTCTCAATAAACTACAATAATGGTATAACAGGAACTGAGAGTGTATGGTAGTGCTGTGACACTTACTGTAAATCACACCCATTCTAAAACCTCCTTCCTTTCCTCCTTCTCACAGGTAAGCGTTCCGCTGCATCCCTGGCGGAGCGGCTGAAGAAGGTGGAGGACGAGTGCAAGCTGAAGGAGGACGAGAGGGTGAGCCTGGAGCTGGAGCTGACGGAGGTCAAGGAGAGTCTGAAGAAGGCCCTGAACGGAGGAGTCATTCTGGGACTCACCATCGAGCCAAAGTCTGGCACCTCCAGCCCACAGGTCAGACCTCAATCAATCACATTTATTTTACATCAGCAGTCGTCAAAGTGCCTTACAGATACCCAGCCTAAAACATCAAAGAGCAAGCAATGCGGAGGCAGAAGCACAGTGGCTAGAAAAAACTCCCTAGAAGGCAGGTATCAAGGAAGAAACTTAGAAAGGAACCAGGCTTGAAGTCCTGTTCTTGCTGTCTCTACCATGTCCATGACCCATGGCTGAGTCTCAGTACTGTACAACGGCTTCCTTCTCTTGAAAAGTGAACAGACAAAAGCATTTTGTCCATGTAAATTAGCCTTGTAGACTAAAGCACGTGTCAAACTTTGGCCCACAGAGTTTGACACAGAATCTCAATATGCCCAACATACTCATGACAAACAGGCTGTTGCAAATGTTGCAGCTGACTCTGAATGGTGTGTATCTGTGTGTGTCCAGTCCCCAGTGTTGCTGAGACGTACCGTGGAGAACTCTCCCATCTCCAGCTGTGACACCAGCGACACAGAGAGCTGTTCTACTCTGCCCGTCAACAGCGCCTCCCTCCTCCGCAGAACGACCAATCAGAAACCCTCGGCCGTCCGCGGGCACGTCCTCAATAAGGCCAAAGTGAGACAGAGAACACACACCAGTGGAGGCTTGTGGGAGGATCTATAGGAGGATGGGCTCATTGTAATTGCAGGAATGGAATTGAATGAATGGAACGGTATCAAACGTATGGAAACCACGTTTGACTCATTTTACATTTACATTTTAGTCATTTTAGCAAACGCTCTTATCCAGAGCGACTTACAGTTAGTGAGTGCATACATAATTTTTTTATTTTTCATACTGGCCCCCCGTGGGAATCGAACCCACAACCCTGGCGTTGCAAACGCCATGCTCTACCAACTGAGCTACATCCCTGCCGGCCATTCCCTCCCCTACCCTGGACGACGCTGGGCCAATTACGCGCCACCCAATGGGTCTCCCGGTCGCGGCCGGCTACGACAGAGCCTGGATTCGAACCAGGATCTCTAGTGGCACAGCTAGCACTGCAATGCAGTGCCTTAGACCACTGCGCCACTCGGGACTCCATTCCCTAAATTCCATTCCAGCCATTACAATGAGCCCATCCTCCTATAGCTCCTCCCACCAGCCTCCTCTGTCACACACACCTGCGTTTACACACACACAATCAAACACCCTCTGCACTCATTCACCTGCATTACCACATCTCTGACACACACACACACATCCATTGCCACACATCCCATCCCAGTCTAATGACTGTACTGCATTTGCATGTAACTGTCGTATTTGTGTGTATTTGCATGCATATCCTGACACCCAGTTCACTCAATGTTCCCTTTGTTGCAGGAATGGGAGAAGAAGACTGGCACATGAGCAACAACTCTCTTCACAACAATCCTATCTTATTTGCTTGTATTTTTTTATGTGTGTATATATTTATTTCAAACCGTTTTTTTTTTGTTGCAGACATCCACTTTCGTACAGTCTCTTGTCGCCTGTTTCTCCATCACATAAATCAATCTGGTTTCTACAATTCTTGGGGTTCAGAAATCAAGTGCATATTTATTTGTAAATGTTTATTAGGTAAATACTAGCATCCTTGTGATTATTTATGTCGATAATATTTCATACTTGTTTTATAGTATTGCTCCAATGTTATGTCCTACCCAGTTGGAAGCTCTCTTGTTCATAAGCATCAGTTTAGAACCGTAACTACACTGCGCCACTAATGTTCACATCATCTGGATCCAGCCATTAGGATCACTGTTAGGCGATCCAGATGATTTGCAGATCATCAAACCAGCAATACACCTAGTCCTTAGTGGTTGATGCCTGGGAGTGGGCCATTGGAATGCGCCACTCAGTGAAGTGTAGGTCAGGCTAAGGTGTGGTGGTGGTGTTCTGGTGAGTTTGGCCACTGGTGTTGGAAAAGTCTGAAACCTCAAGTAACGTGTTCTCTTGTATTTACGCTTCGACATCCAGGAGCCTCGATCAAGGTTTTAATCATGCCGCTGGTGCACTGTAGCCCTGTGGTCTGATCTCTGTGTGTGTGTGTGTGTGTGTGTGTGTGTGTGTTTAACTATTCTTGTGGTGACCAGAAGTCCCCACAAGAATAGTAAACAAACAAACATTTGACCAACTGGGGACATTTTGTTGGTCCCCACAAGGTCAAATGCTATTTTTAGGGTTAAGGTTAGAATTAGGGTTAGAAGCTAGGGTTAGGTTTAGGGTTAAGGTTAGAATTAGGGTTAGGTTTAGGGTTAAGGTTAGAATTAGGGTTAGAAGCTAGGGTTAGGTTTAGGGTTAATGTTAGAATTAGGGTTAGAAGCTAGGGTTAGGTTTAGGGTTATGGTTAGGTGTTCATGTGTGTGTTGAAACGTCTCGAGGCACATTCCAAGCCCATCATCAATACACTGTTAGAAATAGAAGCCCTTTTCAGTATGGTCAGAAATACTGTGTGTTCTCTGCTTCAACCAGAGACTGTGACCTAGTTGTGGATTCTTGAACTTCCAGCTGCTACTCTAGCAACACGTTTCATCTCGTACACGTCACATGTAATGTATTTCTAATGGTGTTTTTGGTATTGCTTTTAACACATCTACAGTAAACTGCAAAATATTCCCATATCCACACTGTTCAGTGTAACCTAACCAAGGTGATTTGTAGGGGTGGGAAGTAGCATGTTGATGTACTACTGCAAGCAAGCTAAGTTTTTACTATTTTTACTCTAAGGCACATTTACCTTTTAAAACATCTGATTTTATGGTGCATTTATTGGCCCGGTTGGAACATGAGGCTGTGCGTAACAAAAATGGCCGCCAACAGCCGTTTCCCAAGTTACCAGTTAGATGTTTGTATTCCTCTTTCCTTCTCTATTCATTCAGATTGAGGCCGGGATTCAATCCCATCGCGGGTTACATGCATTGTGGTGTTTTAAAGGTAATTACTGATTGAGCCGACATATGCAGCGTTTACCGTGACTGGGATCTTTGCGAACGCGGGAACATTGCCTTAAAAAGCCGCAATGCCTATAAGCTGCGATTGGATTGGATCTCGGCCAAAGTCCCACTAGGCTGTGGGTTAGAGCTAGTTCTTCACTACAAGATGAGAAAGCGTTACGTCCATTTTGGGTCCCTTTCTCCTCTGTATAAACAACTTCGAATCTGAAATGGGCCGAGAGAGAGAGATGATGTCATTCAGAAAATGTGAACCCAATGTACCTGTACATAGCTTTGCTGGAGGGGACAGGATGGGAGGGAGAGGGGGGAGGAGAGTGGGGGAGGGTTGGGTGTATTGGGTAAAGGGAGTAGGGGAGAAATAACAACATTGTTTGTTTTGCACCTTAGACTTTTCTACTCCATTGTACTTCTATTGACAGTCGCCAACTCGGTGACGAACGGCTGTATATAAAAAGTAATAAAGCTCTTTACAAATGTCCCCTTTCTCAGGCCTTGCGTTTATTGGGAATGGGTTAGCTGTGTAGTCAGACCAAATGAAACTCAAAACCCCATGAAAATGTTATTAATCTGTATGTTCTCAAAGAACAAAACATTGGGAAAAAAATGACCCACATACAGTGAGCTCCAAAAGTATTGGGACAGTGACACATTTGTTGTTGTTTTGGCTCTGTACTCCAGCACTTAGGATTTGAAATGATCCAATGACTATGCGGTTAAAGTGCAGACTGTCGGCTTTAATTTGAGGGTATTTTTTATCCATATTGGGTGAACCGTTTCGAAATAACAGCACTTTTTGTACATAGTCCCCCCCATTTTAGGGGACCAAAAGTATTGGGACAAATTCCCTTATGTGTATTAAAGTAGTCAAAAGTTTAATATTTGGTCCCATATTCCTAGCACGCAATGACTACATTAAGCTTGCGATTCTACAAACTTGGCTGTTTGTTTTGGTTGTGTTTCAGATTATTTTGTGCCCAATAGAAATGAATGGTAAATAATGTATTGTGTCATTTTGGAGTCACTTTTATTGTAAATAAGAATAGAATATGTTTCTAAACACTTCTACATTAATGGGGATGCTACCACATGAATCTAGCATTTTTGGGGGGTATGGTATTTATGCCTCTAACTTTCTCACTCATTATTCACAATTCATTCAGGATTATCCGTAATCATGGTAGCATCCACATTATTGGTTTCCGGGCTCCGGAGAAGAGAGTTCGGTGTACAGACTTTTTCCCCAAATGAGAAAAGGTTAATGCCCCTGGGGTTAAATCCCTGCATGTAACCAAGAGGTTGTGGGTTAGATTCTCATCTCTTGTGCTTTAGTTTCCGCAATTGTCGATGTCAAAGATAAATTTGTCGCTTTGGGATTTGATACCTGTCTTGCAATCAAGAGGTTGTAGGTTTGAGCCTCATCTCTTGTGCATTAGTGTACATTTCTGCAACTATCAATGTCAAACAGACAAAGAAGTGTATATCGTGTGAAGGAGTCTGTGGCTCTGGCATAAGGATCTCACCCCGTAAGCACAGTGTTGTGGGTTTGAACCAAGCCATGGCCCTGAAGCATAGTTGTGAACGTATGGTTGACTGGCGGGTGCAGGCAGAAGGGCATGATAAGCAGGGGTGGTTAAATCCTGGGGTTTCTGAACTGTGAACAGCAGTGGTTATATACCTACTTTTTCCATGGGGATTTTCCCCATAACCACTGCTGTTCACAGGCAGGGGTACCCCCCCAATATTAACCCCCATCAGTCATCAAGTGCCCTGCCTGGGATTGAACCCACAACTCTGTGGTTAAGAGGTGAGAGCCTTACACACGCTTCACACTTTTTAACACATCTCTTCATATATTTGACATCGACAATTGAGGAAACATTCAAATACCTACCACACTCAAGTGCCTTGCCTGGATATGACCGCTTCAGGGGTGAGGTCCTTACACCAAAGCCACCAATTCCTTCACACCTGAAATGCTTCTCTTTGTATGTTTCACATCGAGAGTTCTGCAAACGTTAATTAAAGTACAAGAGATGTGGCTCAAACCGATTTAGTTGTTAGCCAATCAAATCTGCTAATTGGTGACGACGTGTTTGTCATTCACAGTTACATTCCCATGTGTGCCAGTACTAAGTACAGATTTACTGCGAGTTGGGTAGGTTTAAAACAGCATTTCTCAAACCCCCCAGCCGTTCCATGTACTTGATATTTTCCAGAACTAGCACACCTGATTTCAACTAGTCAACTAATCATCAAGCCTTTGAAGAAAGTCAAATCTTTATTGAACAGATACAATTATGACAACCAACGTGTAGAGTTAGGGGAGTGATTTATTCCAGAATGCAGGTTAAGTGCACTACACTTTCTGTTGAGGACTTCATAACATTTTTCATTTATTTACCAAAATAACCTACAAACCAAAAAAACATGAATAAAACTGTGAGGTCAAATGTCACACGTCTGTGTCATCAACAGTGAATCTCCTTCACAAATATATTGGATTCTCTTGACTACCCCCCCCCCCCCAGACGAGATATCTCTAGAAGCCAAACATAAGCATATATATGTACAAAATAACATGAAGAACGGAGAGTCAGGTAGAATAGGCCAGTGTGTGTGTGTCTGGATGTATCAGATAGACAGGCCTACATCACCATGGATGTAACTGACTCACTGGAAAGCTTGAGCTTGACTCTGAGCATTGGTCTGTAGACCTGTACTGTCTCATTCAAGACATCCCTATCAAGTCTGTATGGCCCAATGTGTGAAGATGGTCCACTTCACTCTAGACTGCACTCTTCAAGATGACTACGTTCTTAGTGCAAATTAAATATCTTGGGATATTTGAGATGGGAAGGAAAGCCACTGACCAATGTTTACTACACACACGTTGACCGGAACGAAACAGAAATGTATCCTGTATCATGAGTGCAGAAGTGCAGGGTGTAGATTTGATCATGAGAGATCCTTTCCAGTTAAACAATGGATACAACCGAAAGTAGCCTACCTAAAAGCCTATGATACTTAGCTATACACTGAAATATTGCTAACTGATACATGAGAAGCAAGCAAAGGTATTGAGTAACTCTCTGTGTGATTGTACTGTGATGAGGGGATTCAGTGAAGGAGGCATCCAAAAAACGATTGTGTATGTTTTGGTATCAGTGTAAAATACTCACACTCACGTGAAGGACTATATACAGTGAGAGGTTGTTCATATATACACATTTATGTACACAAACCAAATTATATGGGGAGATACCGCAACTAACTCTGCCTAACATAGGCTCAATAATGACAGCCACACCATCTCCATGACGACGACCTTGTCTCTGGGGAAACAAACTCACGTTGACCTCTGACCTGGGGGCTATCTTGGGGTTGGGGTCAAACTGTTATTAGTAAATAAATAGA